CGAGCTGGAGGCAGAGCTGGAGCTGGCGGCGGACGAGCTGGAGGCAGAGCTGGAGCTGGCGGCGGACGAGGAGCTAGAGGAGCTGGTGGCCGCCGCCGACGAGCTGGAGCTGGTGAGGGAACCACCGATGGGGTTGTCGGTTGCAGTGTTCGAGGTGGTGGTGGTCAACGCAGAGGTGATGCTCGACGAGGTGGAGCTGCTGGAGCTGCTCGCTGCTGCCGCAGAGCTGGAGCTGGAGCTAGTGGCCGCGGCCGACGAGCTCGAGCTGGTAATGGAGCCACCAATAGGGTTGTCAGTGTTGGAGGTGACGGTGGCCGTGACAGTCTTGGTCTCGGTAACCCAGTCGTTCCATTGACCTGGCAGTGTGACAGTCGGGTTGGTGACATCGTCGCTGCCCCAGTCAGCCCAGTCGAAGCCCTGGCCTCCGTTGCCACCGACAGCATTGTTGGCACCGGTTGGCTTAGGGAACCACGGGAAGTGACCAGTAGGGAAGGGAACAGCGCTGGATGTCTTGGGTGGTTGTCGGCTGCATGGCACGGTCCAGTAGATTGTCTTCGTGATGGTGGTCGTGAAGTCAATAGTCTGGTGCGGGCGGTGGCAGGCACGAGTAACATGGGCGAAGAATGGGCTGGGCGCCACGGTGATTGTCTCGGTGTCGACCGTGATGACACGGGATGGGGCAGTCAAGGTGAAGGTGAAGGTGTACGTGCCGGCGCTGGGGGCTACGAAGTTGGTCGAGACCGGCGCAACAGTGGTGGAAGACACAGATGGCGCAGGCTTCGAGATCCAGGTCTCGGCGTAGCCCATGCACTTGGAGCCTCCGGGACCAGCACGGCACTCAACGACATCAACAACCTGCGAGCGGCTGCCGTCTGCCTGGACTTTGCACTCCTCACAGAGACCGCTGCCACCATAGCCGGGGATGGCAAGCGGACCAATGTGGTTGAATGGCGCCTTGAACTCCTTGCCAATGGTGAGCTCGATCGGGGTGGGCGAAGGAACCAGATAGATTGTGCCGTTCTTGGTCACCGAGACCGTCGGGGTGACAGTCTTGGTGATCGTGGTGTGGTAGACAGAGACAGTGACCTCCTGTTGGGTAGCAGTGACCGTGGTGGTCGACTCGCTCTCGCCATCCCAGGCGCAAGGAATGACCGTGTTGACATATGCGAAGGTCTCAAGCGCGTACTTGGTGACACAAGATCCCCGGAAGCACGCAGAGGTCGGGGCACATGTCGACACAGACTGGTACTGCTCTGTGACTGTGATGGGAGGGATGGTCGAGGTCGTAAGCGCCGGGCAAGGCGTGATCGTAGCAAGAGGCTCAGCAATGGCTGCCCCAGCCATCAAGGCCGCCGTGGCGACCGCGGACGCGGAAAAACGCATCATGAAGCAGATGAACGAATGACTTGGGTGTAAAGAATGGATGAAGGAAAACTCCTTCGAATTATATTCAAGCGACCAGTGACCTGTGCTGCTCGGAAGAGGTGGTGGTGAAAGAGGTTGGTAAGAGGTGGGATCGGTTGGGTCCTATATAGGACATTATTGAAGTTTCATTTCCCTAATGCCTCGCGCCGTCGCAGCTCGATAGGAGACTTTTGTGGGCTCGCGGTGGGGGAAACACGATGCCAGGTGCTTTGATTGATCTGTTCCTTGACACGGGCCAATGGACTAGGTACTCACATCAGGAACAAACTCACTCCCACTCAATGCTAGGACGAGGCTAAGACCAGGCTAGGAGGAGCAAGACACTCTTCCATTTCAGCATGGACCACCACCCAAGGGGCAGCACGGCCGGCACATGGTCCAACGCACTGCGCTGGTGCGCCCTGCTGTGGTGTCATCCGTTTCCTCTGGAGAACCGAGTATCAAGATGACAGCGCCACTGATAGTATGGTGATGGTTGTGGCAGCACAGTTTAATCTCCTGCCGGCACAGGGAATATCGTGGGAAGGAGCAGTGACGGCTGAGGCACCGAGACATATGGTGACATAGGGCGAAGTGGGCACATCAGTCCTGGTGTCTCAAAAGAAGAGGCTCCACCTGGCGGTTGAGCACGCTATAACATATGCAAGCCATATTCAGTGCAACTGCCTGGAGAGCATTCAACGCCGAATCGGGATAACACGTTGCATTGAGGACAATATAAGCCAGATACGGCTGAGTTGTTCCATACTCCGGGCAGATCAGTAAGCCATCTACCTTTAGAGATCGATCATTTGCGGCATGGAATGGGTCTGACCGTGGATTGGCAATATCCCTTCACCTGAACTTAATTGAGCACGCCAGCGAGCCAACAATCTGCAAAACGCGCAGGAATGGCCAACCTACTCATAACATGATCTGCTTAGCCTTCTGTCGGTTTGAACTTTTGCCAACGGGCTCGGCGCTTGCCATAGACAGCACCTTTGTATAGCCCATAAGAGCCGCTGTCGTGGATGGCTGTGGTCCTGGTCTGTTGGCACGGGCCTGGCCAACCACCTGATTCTGTCACTGAGATTGTCAACCCAGAGCACCGCGGCGAATGGCCCTCTTTCAGGTGCCCCGTACTCCAATCTCTGCAGGGGCTCGAGCACGCCGATGTTGTTGATAGGGAGTCCATTTCCCCCCCGAGTGTCACACGAAATCTCTTCTGACTTGACTTGAGGTTGAAAATGGATTCCTTGGCCCTGGGCCCAACGGGGACTAGCGTCGGTGCGTATGGGCCTGATACCGCCGATTGTAAAATACACAGCCTGACTCCACTGCAGCCCGCCAGGCCCCTGGTCATTCTTGTCATTCTCGTCATTTGTCTTTCGACCCCCTTTTTCTGCGTTGCGCCCAAAGCCCACTACACACTACTGGCACGGCAGATTCTCGATAGTAGCTCAATATTTCGCCCCTGGCCGTATCTATTGGGGCTTCAACCTCTCAAGATATCGATTCCCCATCCTCTCCACGGCTTCTCCCTTCTCGCTTACGTAGCCGATAAGCATCGAGATGGATCGACAAAGGAGAACATCCGCCCTGAAACCCCCCACGCTTACTGTACCCCCTCCTCGATGCCTTCATTATCCATCATATAATTGTTTCAATCAACAGACGTTGCGAATGCGTAGCCAAGATTGGAGCTGTATTCTCCACATCTCCTGCCTTGAAATGATGGCTGTAACTCAGGGTGGCTTTCAACACGTTCTTATCGACCACAGACCAAAATTTTTCCTGGCGTTTGCCGTGATCTTCAGGTCGAGATTTCGGGGTGGCTGCTGTGTGGCACATGCCTACTTTCCTCTTTGGGAATGTCTGAAAGCTGTCACTTCGGCCTTGCTTATGGTCCTTGACCTCCAAGAGCGAAATCCTCGTTCATCATAGGTAGATTCGTGTCGCGTCTCGGGGACAACGGCCTCCTGCTGTGGGCGTTCCGGCCCTCACTGGCTGGCCAGGTGTTTCATGGCTACACTTCTCGCAGGGTGTCGTGTGCACCGGGCTCGATTGCGAGCTGCTCATCAGCTCTAACACGTGGCGAAGAGATTTCTGTGTTGTCTTAATATTCTCTCCGACTTGTTATTATTGATACTATGAACCTTTTGGCTTTGAGCAAAGTTGCTGTCGTTCTCCAAAGGGTCCATCTTTTGCCTCGAACTTGACAAATCCGTTCTTGGGTGATCATCCCATTCTCTGCTGAAAAGGGACAGTGTAGACTTGGCCTTCGTAGCTTGGTCGTCGGCTGCTGGATGAGATAGCCCAGTCTTACCACGAAGTTTCGGGCTCATTCTCCAGTATGTCGACGCTCCCCTTCGACAACAGGCGCTGCCAGCGAAAGAACTCGCAAAGTTGGCGAAAGTCCCGGATCGCTGCTCAAAGGTCCAGAAGACCGCTGTTCTTCATCGTCGCCAGCATCATCTGCTTTGTTTTCTGGCATCACTCTCAGTCGTCTTCAATATCACCGCGGCGGCATACGTTTGTCCAGAGAGACCCCGATCCACACACTTCGCCTGACCGGAGATCTATTCAAGAGGAGCCTGACTGGCTGAAACCGCAAGAACAGGTTATCGACCCGGGATTCCGGACCGATGTCACCGCCGAAGAAAATCCACAGGTGCATAACAATCCCTACGTTCAGGATCACACCGGAGAGCAGCGTTTGCAGGATAATACTGTCGTCCGTCCACCCGCCAATCGTGGGCAGCCTGGCAAAGACCTGCCCTCAGGCCCGGAGGTCCTCCTGATTCCTGGGGATGGGTCAGAAGATGTTGCGCTGGCGCCCCAGTTCGTGGAAGTACCAACAGACCGCCTCCAAAAAGGGCCAGTAGCTGTCCCGGCGAATCTCGATCCTCAGACGGAGAAGGAGCCCCATATCTCGTCACCAGACCAGCCACCCAAAGAAAAAATCATTGAATCAGAACCTGTCGACCATCTTTCGTTGGAAGAAAAAGCAGACAACTTGCCCGAAATCGTCCATATACCTTTCGAAGATGCGGTCAAGGATGAAGTCTTGCAGGGCTGGGAGGATGACTGGGTCGCACACGCATCATATGACGCGAAGAAATGGGGGAAGTTGGCCGAGCCGAAGATTGACTTTGTGTATTTATGTAAGAAACTTGGATTTTAGTTGTGAAAGAGGTGATGTCTGACATGAACAGGGGTCAACGGCTCTGAGGAGGCTTTCCAGAAGACCAAACATCCGTACGAGTTGAACTCCATTCTGAACGACGAGGAAGGGAAATGGATCAGCTCGCACGGAGTCAACCGCTACCGGGACTGGGATGAGTTACGGTACTCACTTCGAAGCCTTGAGCGTTATGCATCGAGCTTCCGCAACAAGATCCAGATTGTGGTGAACTCGGTGGAGGGAACTGAGGCAGGAAAACAAATACCAAGTTGGTTGAAAGATGACCCAGCCACGAAAGAGGTGGTTCAAGTGCTCGCACAAGAAGAGTTCTTCGACGCCGAAAAACACGCCTGCTTGCCAACCTTCAACTCTTTAACGATTGAGAACCAGTTGTTCAACACACCATCCGACACGGACTTTGTGGGTTCCCGAACATCCCGCCCCTTGCTGTGTTGCTAATTTCTGTCAGTTATTTGCTCTGTCCGACGATATGCTGCTTGGCAAGGAGCATACGGCCGCGGATATTTATTCTCCTCTGTTCGGCTCTGTGATGGGCTTCAAGACCAACTCCTACAGTGCCACCTCGCCCCCAACAGAAGTTGATGCCCATAGATTCGGGGAGAAGCCCTTTCTCATTTATACTTCGTGGCTTCTCAATCGACGGTTCGGCATCCGCAAGCGGAAAGGGCAGGGTCATTTCGGCCACTCCTTATCTCGGAACATTATGCGTGAAGCGATATCCTCCTTCCCCGGACCGGAACTTCAGAGTGCTTGCAAACGTTTCCGTGGTGAGCCGGGATTCCAGCTATATTCGTGGTATGTGACTTTCCACTACCTCATCGAACGGCATCGGGAGGCCCTGTTATGGAGTTACATCATGCTTCGAAGCGACGTGGACGGGGACGGCAACTTGTCGTGGGAAGAGCGGCAGACTGTCATGCAAGATCTTGAGGCCGGAATGAAGAATGAAGGTCGAACCACGTATCGAAAACGAAACTACTACCACGTACCTCAGTTGTTACAAAAGGCCGGTCTCGCTCCGCCCAAGGTCAACACCGACATCTTGTGGACTTCACTTGATGGTCCGTCGGCTATTCAAAACGCCGATTGCATCGAGTTCGATCTCAACGAGTGCTTGGCCCCTGGGTTCTCGGTCTCCTCGACCGATGCACGCACAAAGAATCCTGTCTTCTCGACCGCCGTGATTTTCGACCGGTTAGCCCGACAAGAGCCCAAATGCGGTGACTGCTTGTTGAAGTTGATTCTCAACAAAACACCCAAGGGGCTTGCACCTCTGTTACCGCGAGCTGGCACACAAGATGCGCAGCGGGAACTGGTGATCAAGGCTGTGATGCGGTACCGGTACTCCATCATCAACCCGGATGCCCTCTTCGTCATGGTCACCGACGCGGAACAGGTTGACAGTACCCTCGTCAGTCGCTATGTGCGAGGCAAGAAAGAACTGGCCGGCCAGTTGTGCTTGAACGACGATGTGGCCACCAACGACCCTCAGGAGCTTGCAGACGTGAAGCAAGCCATGACCGAGTTGTATGAAGGATTGTTTCCAGACCCGAGTCCTTTTGAAAAGTAATTAGCGGCAGCAGACAAAACACTTTGACGAACTAACGAATTGGATTCCAATCTACATCATTCAGCATTCAGCATTCAGCATTCAGCGACAGTGACAGCGACAGCAGCAGCAAAGAAGGAGATATGGCAAACGGATGGCGCCCATCCACTCTTACTGCTGTGCAGTATTTGAGTATCTCCATGTACAATATGGCTTACCAAAGATGAGTGGCGGGGGAATAACTTCTCGTGATGGAATGGAGCATTGGAAGAGGGTGATGGTCAGTGACCGCGATGGGCAGCCTACCTTACATTGGCAATACCAGCACCCCCAGGAGTCGGATAGAAGCAAGAGAAGGCAACTCGACAAGTACAAGGTAGAGAGCCAACCACCTTAATACATCTGTCGAGCAGTACCTACTGGTAGTAACCCGACAAGACTCACAAGGCGGGAGATCGCAAGAAATGCTTCCTCGGCTTCGACCAAATAAAAAAGCATGTAGTGTACTTACAGTAAAGGATCGAATGGCAGCTCCGAGTCCGTCCTGCTTCACGTTGGAAGTGTGTGATTTCACGGAGGACTTGTCCTATTTCAACGGGGCCTGGGGCCTCGTCAGACTATATACTTTCTAGGGGTTATACGATAGCGTACGACGCTAGTCGAGACCGAAAGACGGTCCTCGACGTCTTTACAATGCTTGGCACGTAGGGTGCCCATTTTGTCACAAGTGGTTCCTGCCCAGCCCCTCCGAGTCCGTTGGACCACTGCTCTGTATTCTCTGTGTTCTCTTTGTAGCAATGCCAGTGCCGTTCATTGACTCTTCTCCAGCCGACACTTGCAGGTCCCTTGTACAGTACCAATGGACTGACTGGGTTCCTATCAGTTATGTCTTGGAGCGGTAACCTGACGACCTTTGTTGCGGCGAGCATGCTAGTGGTGAACAACTGTCAATCGCTTCACGGCTGCGGTCTGCGTTCAGCCTCAGGCTGGTCGCGTCTGGACTTTGCTTATTTTCAAAGAACATAAACAAGAACCTCACACCCTCACTTTCCACGTTCTCACCCCCATCTCCCACTTCGGTCCGTTTCTACATATGCCCACTTCTGTAGGACAGCTTCATGCAAACGATGGCAGCCAGTGAGGCTACCCTCTCGGCAGAGCTTAAGGCTCTGGTTAAGCAGCATGAGGCATACAAAATCAAAGCAGCAGAGGAACAGCAACTCGTCGAGGTACGGCTCCTTCTGCTCCTTCTCCTGTCTCAAAGCTCCCCAGCTAACTGTCTCTCCAGAAACTCCTGGGACTATTACAACAAAAGGAACAGTCACTCGAGAACCTCAAATCCGACCTCGACGACCAAACTGAAAGCCGTCGCCGCTGGCAGAAGCGTGCGACTGACGCCGAATCGCGTACTGTTCGTCGAGATCCTCACCCACGTCGACCGCTAGTACTGACCGCGCCTGCAGACAAGTGTCCAGCACCTCCTCGTCCTCGTCGACGGCAACCAGCATTTCTTTCAGCCTGGGCTGATAAGAGCAGGGACCCCGGGCGCAAAAGAGGCTGTCGATACCCTGCTGGCCGAGGTAAAGGAGTTCGCCAGACAGCAACACAAGAATGACCTCCCCGAGACGATCTCGGTGGTAGTGCACATTTTCTCTGACATTGGCAGACTTGCCCAGGACCTCGCTGCGGCAAACCTCCTGCCAGATCCGGACAGATTGTGGACCTTTGTTCAGGATGCCTGCAAGATTGAGCCGTGTATCACCATCAGTGACTGTGGTGCCGCGCACGACGCCGTGGATGCCAAAATGAAGCGTGTGTAACAACCCCATCCTATCGAACCAACAGACATACAGCAACTGACGTTGATCTAGAATTCTACGAGTTGTACATCGAGAACTGTCATTGCAGACACATATTCCTAGCACTAGGCGAAGAGTCCGAGTATTACAACATTCTGCAGTTGTACAGCGAGGACGATTACACCAAAGCAAAGACCTCCCTGGTGGAACCCGCACAGGGCTTTCCTGCAGGGATCAACGTCCCTTTCCACATTGTCAGCTTGTCCACGCTTGTCAGTGTTCCCAGAAAGGAGTCCTTTTCGGGAGAGATCACGGCAAACATCAACGGACGGTCGTCGGCTCCTCAATGGGAAGACAAAGTCGAATATGAGGTTGCTGCCCCAGCCACCTCGGAGCTCAAGTCCGTCCAAACGGTTTCTCCAACAACTGCCCGCCATGAACCCAAGGTCTCGTCATCTTCCTCGGACACTCACCGCTCAAAGGGACCAGAGGAAAATGGACTTGACCCTTCTCCTGAGCAATGGAAGGAAACAACCCCTGCGCGAAACGAGCCGAATGGCATCATTGCAGATGATGCTGCACGCGAGTCCAGCTCCGCCGGTGTTGTAAAACTTGAACCTTCCACTCATTCATCTTCAAATTCGAACAAGACCGCGGAACAAAGCTGGGAGACAACTCCCTCTGCTAACACTTACGTCCCGCCCCCATTTGAAGGGGCCTGGGGTGACGAGGAAGCAGGAGTGGATGGAGTGCCCGGGAGGCAAGAACATCCCCAGCATAATGGTACCTGGACTTCTGATCCTGCAGGTTCCTACCGTGGCTTCAACAAAAATAAACAAGCCCAGAAGCCGGCATGGCGTCAGGAACGTCCTGCTGGTTTTCCTGCGCGCCGACCGAGGCGAGTCCCTCAACAATTTGAGGGCTCATGGGACGACATGACTCAGGGAGACGAGCCTCAGTCACAACCGTCGATTCACGAATCCTCCCCATCACTAGCCTCGGCGTCCGTGCCAGCGTCAGCACCAAATGCAGTGAGCAATCCCAACCTCAAGTCGAATGGTTTTAAGCCTTTGGCACCTGGGCATGAGGGTCTAACGAAGCCAGAACCGTACCCAAATGCCCGACCCATCTGGTCTCCAATCGCATTGAACTATCTCGACCAGCGCATCGACTTGAAGCTGCCACGCCCTTCGCCTGGCGATCAGGAACTCTTCGACCTGCGCTCGCGCAATCGCAGACTGTGTAACGAACATCACCTGCGGCTCAGTTGCAATAATACCTCTTGTCCATATGACCACGAGCCCATCTCCGATGGTGTATACCTGGCTTTACGCCACAAAGCTCGCACCCTTCCATGCAGCATCGGTCCCGGTTGTCGACGTCACGATTGTTTCGGCAGTCACCATTGTCTGAATATAGTGAGCACCACAGGCTGCAGAAGACCGAGATGCCCGTTTCAGGCTAGAATGCACGATACAACCGACCTCGTGATTGTCAACATGATTGAGCCCCCACCGAAAGAAGTTAACTGAAGCGTACGAAAGGGGTTTTGCTGATTCTCCAGGAAAGGAGTAAGGGGTGACGGTCGGGGTTGCTGATGGTCTCGGTGCATGGAGGTGGCAGTGTGGGCACAGTTCTGGCGGTGATTGTTGTAGCTAATGATTTGGGGATGTGACGATCCAGTGAAGCACGCTGTGTAGAGTAGAGGATTCCCCGCGGTCTGGGGGCAGGAGCTCACCTGCCGGAAAAGGGTGTGAGTGCTGATGTGTTCCAGGAGATTACGGGATGCTCCCAAAAAAGCGTTGGTGTTTAAAATGGGTGATTACCAGAAAGACAAAAAATATCCTAGCTCACTTTGACCAGGCGTAGGTCCAAGATGATATAGCCACCAGCCCTGGCTGATAGACATGGGGCGGGAACCTGTTGTCAGGCAGTTGTCATCGGTGCATAGGATCTGCGAAGTGGTTTCACGCCAATCTTCCGTCCTACATGCCCATGATGACCACCTCAAAATGATCTGCCGTTTTCATTCAGGAGGGAGCCAAGTCTATCTACTCCTCTGCTACACGGATGTCAAAGCAGGAGAGAAACAAAGGTACGGATATTCGCTCATCTGCGTTCGGATTCAGGACATATTATCTCATCTCGAAAGGCGGGCAAATTCGCGAATGGATCATTGAATAATGTGCACCAAGTATTGAAATAACATCCTACATCACCGTTAGTAAAGCAGGAACATACTAGGTTGGAAAAGGAGCATATGTGAGATGGAAAACCAACCTATTCAATAGAGTTGCTATGGAGCCGACAGACATCACATTGCATGATATTGATATTCATCAGGCTGTATGCAGTGCGGCGTCTGTCAGCATATGCAGTGGCACTGCATGCTCGTCGGGCCCAGTGGCAGTCTCGTCTCAATAATGAACTTTGCTGGGTCGAGAGCACGGAGCCTTGCCATCGAGGGACCATCGAGACATCGCCATCGTCATCCATTCCATCCATTCCATTCCACTCTTCAACACGGCTATGATCCGATCGGGCGTCTTTTGGCTGGAGAATCGGGCTTTTCGTAGTTTTGGAGGCTGTGGACTCTGCCTGTGTCATGTTTGGAAATGGCTCGTCGTCCGGCTCAGATCACTGCAAATCAGACTACCGCTGGCAGTGCGCCGAGCATGGTGTCCTAGACCTTGTGAAAAGGCCGAGATGGGGGTCGTTTCCGTCCGCAAACAGGATATCCGAGTCGACCTGGCTTCGACAAAAGACGTCTCATCTCATCGCACACTCAATGCGTGTCGCAACAAGAAAGAAGAAGGCGCGCCATCGTTTTCCTCCCCGGTCTGCTTTCCATAAACCCACAAAAGCTTTCCCTGCTGTCTTCTTCTTCTGGTGTCCGGCCCAGCCTTGTTTGTCGCTGTCACCGGCGGTCGCAGATTTGGTATGCCACTGCGTGCCCCGCAATGCCATGTTGGACAAGGCCAAAATTACACCATAGCAAGGGGTGAGCTCAGTCCCGATCCATCCTATCCTCGTCGTCGGAAGCTCGACGCCGTCTTTCCCTGCTCCTGCTCCTGCTTCGACTGATACTTCTGGTCTTGCTTCGGCTGCGACTTCTGCCTCCACCGCCCCGGCCGCCACGACGCTCAGCTCCCTTGTTGCTGCCACGGCCCTTCTCCTTTGGCGGCGGTCGGACGAAGGCATAGTCGACGGAGATGGTCTGGTCAAGAAGTTTCGCGCCGTTCAAGGCCTTGATTGCAGATGCGGCTTCGACTTGTGTTGGGTACTCGATTAGTACGTAGCCCTATTTTAGTTCAGAATGTCAGCAAGCTCTCATCTTTCTGTTCTTCTTGTGGCGCACAAGCGCAGCAACCCCTAGCTCATGCAGCTAGCTGATTGATCCGTCATGGTTTGTTCCTTTCCTTCACGGTTGCTGTTCCAGATGACCAAAGGTGCGTAGGTATGTGCAGGATGTCCTTTGTGCATATGTGCTATCGTGAATCTTACCTTGACATAACCGGTCCGCCGATCCAAGTTGAGATGCAAATTCTTAATATCGCCATACTCTCCAAACAGATCGGTGATATCCTCCTCGGTAGCCTCTTCGTGGATGTTGGTCGCGACCACGATCCAGCCTTCAATACTGCGGACTGCGACAGCGCCTTGAGCGGTGCGCGCCTCTGTGCCTGCGCCAGCGCCGGGTTCTTTTCTTGACTCGGTGGGTGACGAGGTTCTGCTGCGGCTGCTGGCATTCTTTGCATTGGCGTCCAAGTTTGCATCGGCGGCGGCAGAGGCGGCCGGTGGGACTGGGTCAACTTCCATTTCGGCGGACATTTTGGGGGAGAGAGCCTAGCGGAGGAAGATGCTTGTGGGATCTGGAAGTCGCGGTGTTGGTGAGGCTCTGTAGGGGAAAAAGGTGCGAGATGCCACGGATATGAGGTTCGCTTTAAACTATTTGGCAGGTTTGTTTGTGTATGGCGCGTTGTGAGTGAATGTTCTGTACTAGTAGGACTGTTGTGCGTTATCCCACATTCGATTGTGCACAATCACACTGTCTGCGATTTCCCAAGGTCCGAGATTCTTCACTTGTCACGGTGTGGTCCGCGGGGACTTCTGTTCTACGTGGTGTAGTTGTAGCTGGAGATATCAGATCCTTTCGGGAGAGTTGCCTGCTTTGGTTGGGCCAGCCTTGTACTACCACTGTAGTAGGCCAATGGATGGCAGTACCGGGTGGCCGATACAACAATACTGTTCACCACTAGGTATCTATCTGTTTACTCGTTTTCCAGTTGATTGTGCCTTATTCCTTGTGGTCGTCGAGGAATCTCACTGAAGTTATGCTTGGATGCTGGACATGGTTCGTGTGGAAACGTACTAGTAGTTGTGGAAAGCGCTGAGTGCACGCGAGTGTTTTCCTCGGGGCTGCGCTGAATCGATAATATATTTTGATATTCGTACAAAAATATTCCCAATCTCCACGAGCACACACTCCCAAAGACGTGATTGTATTTCGCGGCCATACAAAACACTACAATAGTACACATGGCCTCGGAGCCTTATGATCTTCCCATGCTCAACTCTTATCAAAAGATAATAGGAAAGGACAGGCACCATTAACCACGGACAGAACAACTTGAATGTCTCAAATGCAATGGTGTATATTAATCAGCTGCTGCTGCACCCCCAAACCCGGACCTCTTCATACAACAAAAGCCATTGGTCTTGCTAGACAGATACCTGCTGTTGAAAACTACGCACGGGATCAGCTAAAACCCGCGGTCGTCTTACGAGGGAACTTTCTGAAGCCATCACATTTGCTCTGCCCAGTTCTACGCTTACAAAAAAAGGCACGAAAAGTAAATCGAAAATTCCAGCAAAACCTCACACTGGGATGGTCATTGATAACACAAGCTTCCTCATCACCGCTGTTTTCCCAGTCTGCCCAGGCACCGTTTCTTCGACCCCCAGGCCTCGAGCAAGACGCCGCGATACTTCGTAGGGAATCAGTAAGCATACCCGCACTTCAGCCATCAGGCAAGTCGTCAGGCCTGTCATCGCAGACCCGCTTGCTCGACCGCGGAGAACTAAAGATATCCAAACGGTATCCCACAACCTTCGTACAAACCCCACTTGAAGTGGCTAGAAGAATAGATATGCAATCAGAAAGCTGAGCAGACACAAGCCTGCCACGATCTGGAGAGGCACGCCGGTCTCGTGGCTTTGCTGGACCACGGTCTGGACCTTTTCATTCGCTTCCTGCACCTTTCTTTGTCGGACCTGCGGGTCCTGTAGTTGGCCGCTCAACTGCTTAATCTGGGCTCTTGCTGCCGCCAATTGTTCTTTCAACTCCTCAGTCGATGTTGGTACGGCGTTCGAAACGGTAGCTGCAGCGCTTGTCAAGCCGCTTGCCTCCGCCACATTCGAAGCCGTGTTCTTCGCAGATTCGGCGGCAGATGCACCGCTGGACGAGTTGGGAGCGGGAGAGCCAAACTGTGGGCTCGGAGACGAGTATGCAGGCGGTTGTTCCTCGCGCGACGAAGAGGTGCCGTTCGGAGTCGCATCGAATGGGGGGAGGAAGTTGACGCGAATCTTCCTCTCTTGTATGCTACCCTTGGACGTCTTCTCAACTTGCTGCCACAGCGTCGTGACATTTGGATCTTGGTCGGGCGAGGTGAGCACGGACTGAACCAGGAATTTATCGCGACATTTGGCATCAAGAGGCGGTTCCTCTTTCATGGCCTGTAGGAGAACTGCGAACGTGTCAGCGACCGAAAGGGATCATCTCAAATGCTTTCTTGTACCTTGCACCTCCACGCTTTCATGGGGCGGGATGATGCCAGAGTTTGGCCGTACGCAGTATCTGATCGAAGCTTAGCGACTCAAACCTGAAGATTGAGATATAGTCGTGATACTCACTGCTTCGGCGCGGTAGTCTTGACCTAATTCCAACAGTTAGTGCCTGCGCAGAAGGTTCCGAGAAGAGAGGCATACTTTGAAAGCAACAGGAGCATCGTTGACGTTTGTGACCCTTAGGATCTCGCTGACTTCACGGTTGAAGGGGCCTGTGGATTGTAAGTCTTGCTGTCTCGTGCCGATGCAACATGGAGTACTGACGTCTGAAGCCCAGTTCAGCGGGATGGAGTTCGACGGACATGTTTGGGGGAAGAGTTCAAGCTGGAAGCGCCGGAGAGGGTAGACCAGCAAAGATATGCCTACAGACAAACGAGACTTGATCAGGTTTGCTTGTATCCGATTGTGTTGTGGTACAGTGCGTAGAGAGGTGGAAGTGGCTGGTTCGATTGTTCAGCACTGCAGGCTATGACGGTAGAAAGAGGGAGACTGGAGTTGCTACGACAGAAGCGCGCAGTACTACTAGGCGAAGATCAAGGTACTATGTAGATATCGACGTAGTGCACAGGTTGTACTGTACTACTACCACCTAGTGCCCTGCTACTGGCAGTTCTACAAGGTTAGTACTACCTAGTGGCACGGCACTTTATGTTAGTGACTGGCTGACTGCTCAGGCAGAGCTGCGCCAAACGCAAAATGACCACCCGTAGTCCTCGCTGCGATCTACAACATTGTAGGTGGGAGCATGTGGTGTTACCCGTCAATCCATGGGAAGAGTCCGAATCAGGCCTCTGCCATCTCCATTGCGTGGGGTGTGCAATACTATGGTCTATTTGAAACCCTCCATGTCAACAAGGCCAGGCTGCGGCGACTTGCGCGTTCTGCTTGCTGTTTTACTGAGACTGACCTCTATTCGCTACGTATTCCAGACGGGATAGGTGGTATTTTGTCCCGTGGTGCATCGCTGAATTCTCTCAGCTTATTTCGGCCCGGCCGGATCAAATCAGCGGGCAGCGCCGTTGCTCTCAAGCACTTGATTCCTCTTCGCCCGATGCAGATCTCCAGTGGACGGAGGCTGGTTTCTGGCCCTTCGTGCTGCAATGGTGTAGAATAGACTCCCGTCAAAAACCCGGCGAATGTCCTCTTTCCGCATCTCACCATCTTCAGGCCACAGCATGATGTATGTGACAGACCCTGGTCAATGAACCTGTCAGTTGGACTTTCTGTAATAGGACAAAACAAGGGCATGATTTGATCCAGTGATGGACCTACACTCGAAGATGGCACCGCCCCAACCTATCGGATCCGAGACAAGCCTTTGACCGTTGATTTGTCTTACCATGTCCCAAAAATTCAGACTGTCCTTTCCATCGGCGTACTTGGTGAAGATGTCTTCGAACCGCTGGGGGATGAACCGGCCTTCGTGGTCGAACGTGCCGCTATCACTGCCATGCTTGGTCTTGTGGACGTTGACCAGGTAGATTCGATAAAATGGATCCGGCAACCACGAAGGCTGTGTGACATAGGAGAAGTTCAGGTGAATTATGAACAGGGCAACCAGGGACAGGAAAATTCCGAAGCCGAGCTTGCGGAAACCGTTGTAGGTATCAATGGGCCAGAGTATGCCGTCTCGGTCTGTGTCGAAGAAATCACAGTGTTGTTGCAAGACCTTGTCGACGCCGTATGTCAGAGTTGCGCACGTAGATGCGTGATTCTGCAAGCGGGCTTCAGCTTACACTCTGGTGCTGGTGGCGAGCTGCCCATTCGTCTTCCAATGTACCATTAGGCTGTTCCACCGATGGGGCAATGTTGGCACGAGCAGTCCCTGAATCTGGCTTCAGTATTGACCTGTCTATGTGATCGGTGATGGAAACGACCAACCAGGATCAAGAAGCTTTTGGCTGTCTTCTGACGGGACAAAGGGCCTCCTCTCGACAGTAATGGGCACTGTTGGGATTGAAGTGGTGATCTTTTGCTTGCCGTCTCCATTAGTGAACTTGGAGTTCATTTTGTAACTCTGTTCGACCGACAACTTGGGTATCGAATATCCGGCCATTGAGACATGAACCGCACCCGGCCAGTGGTTACAACTGCAACTGTCGAAAACATTGTCTTGTGTGGGAATTGGCCCTTTTTCCTGATGTACTATGCTGCCTGGTGAGAAAGGGGTACAACGGTGTGATGAATCACGCTGACGTCAAGAGTCGCAAATGAGTGCACCAAGTGGTGTCAACGGAGCACTGCAATGGTTAGATACTGGTATTAGTATTGGAGCCTGGCAGTGCATGAGTTGCATAGACGACCATTATTTGCCAGTAGAGACATTATACTGAGGTTCGGCACTTTCCATATGCCCCGACGTCAACAAGGTCGAGAGGGATGAAGACTGGGTTGATGTGCTAGTGGTGTCTGGGTCCCGCCGAGGCTGAGATCTGCCAGGGGTAATAACAACCTCAGTGAGCGGCCACTCCATAATACTGTACAGTGTTGTACTTGATATTCAGCCAATATTCGACTGCAACCCTTTAGCTGCCAGCAGCGCACAGAGAGATGCCTTGAGACGTCCTTCAGGAGCAGTAGGAAACTTCTGGCCTCCCTGTGCATTGTACCTAGAATCAAACTAAGCCTACCTCATGTATTTCTCTGACCTGAACACTTTATGCGCGCGATGTTATCTTCGAGATTCTGGCTGTACTTCTTGCAAGATTGAGGCGGATCGGGCTCAGGAGGCACGACCACGGATAAACCATTCTACACCTGGATGATCTCAATATGGTCGCCTAGTACCTCGGCCAGTAGTCGATAGCACTTGACCACGAGTGGTAGCTGGAAGTAAGCGGGAGAACCTCACAATACTGCCTGGCGCAATGGTAGAACCTGCCTCCCTAACGGTACCTTTCGCTGGGGTCCCTAAAGGCCGAGGGGGCCTCCTTAGCCCCTCGGGCTACTACTACCTCGCGCCTGCCGGGTGCCTGCCGGTGCCGGGCACTGCATAGAAGCACCCGTGCTCGCCTTGGCATTATGACGCGGGACTTCAAGTTGGAGAAGCGGCGGCGGCGAGCAGCCTGCGCCGTATACACCATAGAGGCAGTGGAACGTGTTCACAATCTGTCGTCTACTAGACCGCTACGTGATCGCTGAAGACTTCTGGTCGTTTGCCACTGTCCTTTCTTCCATTTTTCGTCACTACGAAGCAGCAATCGCGGCCGTTTGAGAACATTGACGATACATTTCCTAGGTTATTATACAGCCGCTTTCCTCCACTTCCGCCGCCCATTCTTCTCCTTTACGCTACGGGTCATCTATTGTTGAAGACAAGATAAATCATAGAAGAGAGTGCAAAGATGGCGACTTCAGATCTTGACCAGTTGGTGATGATGGGGTTCGACAAGGAGAGAAGTCAAATGGCACTAAAGAAGTCCGGTGGCCGTAAGCTTCCTGAGTTCGCTTCCCTTCCTGTTTCATTACTGACCTTGGAACAGTGGCCGATGCGATAGATTGGCTGGACGCGAACTCATCAAAATCCATCGAAGAACTCAAAGCCGAGGATGAAGCCACCGCACAAGCCAAAGCCGCCCAAGAAGCGGAGGAGGCAAAGAGCCTTGTCTGCAATGAATGTAGTAAAAAGTTCAGAGGCACTGCGCAAGCCGAGTTTCATGCTTCAAAATCAGGCCATACAGACTTCTCAGAGTCGACTGAAGAAGTTGCTCCTTTGACCGAGGAAGAAAAGAAGGCCAAACTTGCAGAACTACGCGAGAAGTTGGCCGCTAAGCGGGCCGTGCAAGCCGAACAAGATAAGATTGACCAGAAACGCAATGAACAGATCAATCGCAAAAAAACCAAAGAAACGGAGGATCTGAAGGAGCAACTAAGGATCAAGGAGCAACTCAAGGAGGCAGAGAAGAAGAAGCGGGAGCGGCAGGAGGAGATTGAGGCGAAGAAGCGAATACAGGCGAAAATAGCTGCCGACAAGGAAGAACGACGACTGAAGGCCGAAAGAGAAAAGGCTGCGAGGGCGGGCACCGCACTACCCGTTCCAGCCGAGTCAACACCTACCGCGTCTCCCTCTGCGCCCAAGCCAACCTCAGAATACAAAGAAACTCGGTTACGGCTACAAACCTCGGCTGGCAACATCCTGAAGACGTTCCCGGTCGAGACGACGTTGTTTGAGGTCGCCGCAGCGGTTGGAGAGGAAACAGGACGGGATGTGGAAAGTTTTACACAAAATTTCCCAAGAAAGGTGTTTGGCCAGGAATACTTCGGCGAGTCTCTCAAGGACTTGAAGCTAGTGCCCAGCGCCAGCTTGATTGTGCAGTAGGTCTATCACTTTCCCTTCTGTCAAGCACGAAGGCTTTGAGGCAAAACATAGGGAAATGAGCTAAGATGATTGATGAGGGGACGAGCTGACGATGAATGAAAGGGACTATCCATTGCCCTGGTGATACGTGTGAGAGGAGAGGCCTAAACTTTGCGGTAGAGGATCCCCTGAATTGAAACAATGTCACGGGACAAACGAGCTCTCTACAATAAAGTCGAAACACATAGTTCTGGCGCGGTCAAGAGTTCTGTATGCTGGTAATGTAAATGGGTAATGCATCAACTTAAATAATGGTAGCATGTGTATCTTGAATTCGTGGTGTTCAACTGAAGTTGGCCAAGTAGTGCACGTGCAAGGATCCCAACCCGGTGGACGATTTCGGAGACGACAACACGCCACCGCCGACGCGAAACTGAACCACTTAAAAAAAGTCTCGACCGTGGGTCAATCGGTCGCTGCTTCACGCTGCGTCTCCTGACAGCAGTCATCTGGGTTCCTTGATCTTTCTTTTCAAGGAGACCATGCTGGGAGCTGTCAATCTGTGCTGCAGTTCCCTCCACGTTCGTTAGTGTGCACGTACAGGCAGACTGCAACACAACATGTCGACGGCCACCGAAACGCAGTCCTTCCGCCGGCTTCGGCCGACATCCGGGCAGGTTGTAAAGGAGGACCAGGACAAGAGGATAGGAGACAAGGCAGATCAGGGGCAGAAGAGCATCGAGGACAAATTCTTTTGGACCTATACCGAAGAACCGCACCGGACGCGGCGACAGGCCATTATCAAAGCACACAAGGAAGTCCTGCAACTGTGTGGTCCAGAACCACTCACCAAGTACCTGGTGCTTTCCGTCGTTATCCTCCAGATCATCTGTGCCGGCCTTCTCAGAAACTCACCAGTATTTTCCTGGCCATTCCTCCTCACCGCTTACTTCATCGGAGCCACGGCAAACCAGAATCTGTTCCTGGCCATCCACGAAATCAGTCACAACCTTGCCTTCCGCCGGCCACTATACAACAGGCTCCTGGCCATTTTTGCCAACCTGCCCATTGGAGTTCCGTATTCTGCTGGATTCCGACAGTACCATTTAACCCATCACAAATCCTTGGGGGTAGATGGCGTCGATACCGATCTTCCCACTGCATTGGAAGCTATCTTTCTCGACTCGGTCTTTGGGAAGGCCTTCTTCTGCACCTTCCAGCTCCTCTTCTATGCCATCAGACCCATGATGATTTACAAAATACCCTTTGGACCGATCCATTACTGCAATATCGCTGCGCAGATCGTCTTTGATGTCGTCCTGGTCCGGTATTTGGGCCCAAAGGCTCTTGTTTATCTCCTTATGAGCTCGTTTCTAGCTGGCTCCCTCCATCCTTGCGCGGCACACTTTATCTCGGAGCACTATGTCTTCGCCAAGTCGACCATGCGAGACGGGATGGTGCCTAAGGATGTCCCGATACCGGAGACCTTCTCATACTATGGTCCACTGAATATCCTGACCTACAATGTCGGTTATCATAACGAACATCACGATTTCCCTGCCATCCCGTGGACCAGGTTGCCCAAGGTCTACGAGATAGCTCGAGAATTCTATGATCCTTTGCCTTGCCACAAAAGCTGGCCTCTGGTGTTGTGGCAGTTCATCACCGATAAAGAAGTCGGGATGTGGTGCAGGGTCAAGCGCTCGGAAGGTGGACGTATCGTTGGGGGTTGGCGTGACACTGAGATACAGAGTTGAATGAACGAACGTTGTGTTATGAGGAAATGCCTGATAGAAAAGAAGTCATGCTACATGCGAGATGTGTGGAACATGTATCAGTGATACAATCCTTCGAAGCTGCTATTTCTGTTCCATTTGTTGTTCCTGGTGGCGTTTGCTTCTGCCAGTGTGAGTTGGGCTGCCACGTGCTATAATCCGCAAGACGTTCCAATTTCTTCTTACATCCCCAGCTACTATTACGCACTGCAGGGCAATAACCCTCATTCATTCCGACATCTCGTCTGACCTTCAGGGCATTGCATGCACCCCACTGCACTAACTACATGAGAGATGCTGTCTTCCTCTACCTCCAGGCAGAGACGCCATGCCTCTCGCAGGCCCGAGGGAGGTAGAGATCCTCCTTTTCGTGAGACAGGTCGAGGCCGCTCGAACCGGCAAAAGTATCGAGCGCATCGAGCCCAGTCGAATTCGTCCGTGCCTCCATCAGAAGCAATCTCCCGTCATCGACCAACGCCAGCCCGATCGGAGACACATTCCTTCAATGGCACGAACAATCATGAGGTACAATCGTCGCACGATGACGATTTTCTGGACAAGGTCATTGTGGCTATCAATCTCAAAGAAAAAGGAAGGGTTGGTTGTGCATACTATATTGCGGCCGAGGAAAGACTTTTGTGTATGGAAGAATTTGATGGTGGAGGCGTCGACATGATCGAAAGAAGTGAGGACTGCTCCGTCAAGAAGCTACCTACTCACACACCCAGTAAAACTTGATGTCCAGCCCACTACGGTCATACTGTCGCCTCAATCTGATGCTGCATCGGAAACCAAGGACACAGGGGTTCGACGACAGGTGTCTCTGATCGACAGTGGTAAGTGTGACTATGAGGCCCCGTTGAGTGCCTAATGGTCCTCATCAAGTTCTAGATGAGGACAACCACCCTCTCCCTTACGAAATTGAAATACGACCTTCGCACGACTTCAGCTACGAAAGTGCGTTAAACAAGCTCATTAACCTTCTTCCCTTCGCCAGCCATGATCATGCTTCCGAATTCTTCGTACCAGGCGAAGCGGCCACCCTGGAAGAAGGATTACAGCCTGAAGAGCTAGGCTTGACCAGACGTCGGGGCAAGCTGATACAGGTCTCTTCCTGGCTCGATCTGCACAACAGACTCAGCATTGGGTGCATGGGCGCCGTCATCGGCTACCTCCAGCGAAGGAGGTCCACGCAATATCAAGATGATGGCTTTGACACCAACTTGCCTTGGCGAGTACGCAGGCTTGAGATGTTTCATCTTAGAGATATAATGTAGGGATTCAATCTGAAAGATGTGACGTTTACGGCTTACACACACAGGCTGGTCAACACGGACACTTTGATGTCGCTACAGATTGTCCAGCCGGAGAGCAGCCCAGCCGCTCACAAGCAATGTCCACGTTCATCCGTGGCAAAAGAGCCACTGTCAATTCATGGGCTCTTCCAAAAGAATGCCAAAACACCGCAGGGAAAGGTCCTTCTCCGACAAGCCTTTCTCAGACCATCTCTCGACATGGAGCATATCATCAAGCGCCTCGACATAGTGTCGGTTTTCGTCCGCCCGGACAACGATGGGGCGTGCCGCAAACTCACCAAGAACCTCAGCAAGATCAAGAACATGCGGACCACAACGACTCTCCTGCAGAAAGGCATTGACAGCGGCAAGCAAAAGTACAATGCCTTCAAAAGCGGAGTCTGGGCATCGCTGCTCGACTTCTGCTACCACACAATCGAGATTGCAGATACCTTGCAGGAAGTATTGGGAGCCGATCGACTCCCGCTCTTTGTAGTCGCCTCAGACGTCCTGGACCGACACAGCCTGCAACGGCTCGGGCGGATGATATATGAGATCGTCGACCTAGATGCATCGACCGACCAGCAGCGCACCGTCATCAAGCCCGGTGTCAACGAACAGCTGGACGGGATCAAGATCATCTACGATGACATGGAAGACATGCTGACCACAAAGGCCGTCGAGATCTCCCGCTCCTTGCCGGCCGGAGTCATTGTCGACTTGGAGGTCACATACCTGCCTCACATGGGATTTCATGTCGGGGTGCTACTGGACGCGGCGACCGGACAGCCCGTCTACGATGGCCGTCAACTCGGGTGGCAGCGGACTTTCAACACGGAAAAGATGGTCTACTTCAAAAACGCCGCCATGAATGAACTGGATGAGGACTTGGGTGACTTGTACGCCAACATCTGCGATCTCGAAATCGAGATTGCCTATGACCTTGCTCAAAAGGTGCTCGAGGAGGCGAAATTGCTGGTCACGGCGTCCGACATCTGCGGTGAACTCGATTGCAACCTGGCGTTTGCGCATACGGCACGTCAGTACAAGATGACTAGACCGCGCATGACAGAAGACAATGTCATTGAAATCAAGGGTGGTCGGCACTTGTTACAGGAACTGACAGTCCCTTCTTTCGTTCCCAACGACACTTTCTTGGTTGGCGGCCGTGGTGACGGTGGTGGCGGTGGCAGAAATCACAACACTACGACTGATGGCCCGAGCCTGTTGATACTGACGGGGCCGAACTATTCAGGAAAATCCGTGTATCAGAAACAGGTCGCTCTGGCGGTTTATATGGCCCAGGTGGGATCGTATGTACCGGCCGATGCAGCCACCATTGGCATCACCGACAAGATTTATACACGCATCACTTCTCGGGAATCCGTGTCTAGTATCGGCTCGGCGTTCATGATCGACATGCAGCAAATCGCCATGGCGCTCAATTCGTGCACAAGGACAAGTTTGATCGTGATTGACGAGTTTGGCAAAGGCACCGACTCATGTGACGGGGCAGGGCTCGCCGCCGGCGTCCTTCAACACCTGTCATCCCTCGGACCTGAAACCCCCAAAGCTCTGGTGGCCACTCATTTCCACGAGATTTTCGAGCTTGGCCTGTTCGACACGGCGACAAACATCGCTTTTGCGCACATGGAAGTGCGAGTGGATGAACGAAAGGGCCGCCATGAGGGCCACAGCAGCACTGAAGTTACACATCTTTACAATCTCCGACCCGGCAGGAGTGATACCTCGTATGGTGTCCAATGCGCTGCTCAGAATGGCGTGCCGAGGGAAGTGGTCGAACGAGCCAACGAGCTGGCCAGACTCTCCCGCAACGGTGAGGACATGGTAGCCATATGTTCTGCATTGGGAGAGGCAGAGTTGGAAGAGCTCCGGTCTGCAGAAATGGTGGCGAGAACGTTCAAGGACCAGGACTTTGGCCAGGAAATGATGAAGGAGGATCTGCTGGTAGCTCTGGATGCCATGCTTGGAGCGCCATTTGAAGAGATAGATGGCTGATTTCGACGCGAGTTGAGCTAACAGCCCTGATATCATGGATGGATCACATTTTGAAACCCCGAAGATATATGGAGATTTTAGCTGACTGGCCCGGTAGCATTCATGCCTCTTTCCCTGCCCCAGCGCTTGCATTTGGCAATGAAATCGGGAGCGACAAAGATAATGACCACAGAACCGATAAAGTTCCAGAAGACGTCCATGACGTTCTTCCGCACGCTGGCACCCATGCCGCAACCGCGCATCAGATGGCCCAATGCCATTGTAGTAATCATGTAATCGCCCGCCTTCAAGCGCCTGAGCAGGATCCTCGCCACCTCGTCCGGGTGTTGCGGCTTATCGTCCTTTTCCAGCATGAGCGTCAGTTCTGGCTTGATTTTGTTTTCGTTTTCCAGGCCAGGCGATATGATTCCCATTGGGAACAGGATGTGGACTGCGATATCTGCATCTGGTGCTTCGCCTGAACCCTGTCTCGCGCCGTTGTAGACAGCCACCTCTTCATTCAACGAGTCAACCATGGCCCTCATCGCCGCCTTGGCCGGCGAGTACGGAGAATATCCCGCGACAGGGAAGAAGGCGAGCGTGCTGGAAGTGAAGACGATATGACGAGTTGGCGGCGGAACTGAACGATGACGGGCCCCAGTAGACGGTCTCTTCCACAGATTCAACGTCGCATGTGCCATGTACGCTGCCGACCAGTATATCGTGTCCATTTGACCCCGTAGCGTCTCGATACTCACGTCGGCAAAAAAGCCCGGTTGACAATTTCCCGCGCAGCAGAACACCAAATCTGGTGGGTTTCCCTCGTTCCAGTCCGTCACCTGCCTCAGAATCTCGGGCGCAGAGTCTGGCGATCGCAAGTCAAACGAAAGAGCAAGGAACTTTTGCTGCTCAGGTCGAGTTGCCTGTGCTTTGATCGCAGTGATCGCCCGCTCAAGCTTGCCCTTGTCCTGCGCCACAATCACCACGTTGGCTCCTTCAGCCGCGAGCTGTTGGGCGACTGAAAGACCTAGGCCCTGAGAGCCGCCGGTGATGATGGCCGTCAGTCCGGAAATGGGGAAGCGGTCTTTGCTATCGAAGAACATTTTGTAGATGATATAACTGGCGACGGCGATTGCGGCGGAGGTGACCACGATTGTGGCTGTGGATAGAGTCATGCTCGTCGAGGTACGCCGATAGCACCACTTGCAGGAGTATCACAAGTCCCTGTGAAAGAGCTATCTTTGTCAGTAATGTTGTCGAAGCACCTACACATCCGCCTGCGCACTTATAGTACGACTGAGTTTCAGGACAAGTCAACAAAATGTGCCTAGGAGATGCTAGCAGATGAACCGGGGCACTTCATTTGCACGGAGAGGAAGCCCAATGGTGCCGGTGGTGCCTATAAGCCCACCTATAAGCCCCTAGATGGGCCATTAGTGCTGATAGACTGACCCTGCGTCATGCCCGCCAAGCCCGGACCCAAAAAAAAGTTTCGAGATCTCAAACTCCAACTTGAAGTGTCTAACGCCCCAGGGTCCGCCCCGATCGCCTGCCACTACATTAACCGCTGTGCAGGTTCAGGACCGTTGGAGAAGTTCCCGTGTTCATTCCAGAATGGCGAAGAAGAGAAAGGCTGGGAAAGCCCGGGCGCCGCCCACTGGCGGTGATTCCAAAGCCGATTATACGTTTGATGCAACAGAGACTTTTGACGACTCGGAGGACGAGTTTTTCGCCGGCCGCGACAAAATCCTGCTAGACGAAGGACCAGCGGCGAAACGTCGGAGGAGGATGGAAGAGCAGGAGAAAGATTTACAGCCGTCCGATGAAGAAGTGTATCAGGACGTAGGGTCCGAGCCCGAGAGCGAAGATGAGGATGAGGATGAGGGCGCTGGCGAAGAAGACGACCAGTTTGACGATGACCTAGAGTACGAACTCACCGGCCGCAAAACTCGTCGGAAAGAGGCTGGCGAGGAAGATGAAGAGGATGAAGACGACATTAACTGGGGCACGTCCAAGGCCGACTATTACAATGCCGATGTGATTGAGACCGAAGCCGATGCCCTTGAGGAAGAAGCAGAGGCGCGGCGGTTACAGCAGAAACAGCTGAAGAGCATGACAGAGGCAGACTTTGGCTTTGATGAGAGTGCATGGATCGACGAGAGCAAACAAGCACCAGCGAAGCGTGTCGCGGCCGTCGAAAAACTTCCGGACCTCCAAGTGCCTGAAACAGCAACGGTCGAGGAGCGTCTGGACATGCTCAGGACCCGGTACCCCGAGTTTGAGCCATTGTCAAAGGATTTTCTACGTTTACAGGACACATATCAGACCCTGAAGAAGGAGGCGGCACAGTCAGAGGCAGATCGTCAATCTGTATCCTGGACCAAGTTCCGTGCGCTATCTGCATATCTAGGCGCAGTCGCCATGTACCTGGCCCTGCTGACATCCACCAAATCCGGCATGGCTCTGCCGCCTGCGGAACTGCGCGAACACCCCATTATGAACAATCTGGTTCGCTGCCGGGACCTTTGGCTTAAGGCCGAAGCGCTCCGTCCGATTGATGTACAGACCGTGCCAGAAGATCACTCCCTCCAACCTGCGGACGAGAAGAAGCAGGAGCCAGCAGTCGGTGTCTCACAGAAGCAGAAAAAAGCCAAAAAGGAGAAGACGAAGTCGAAATCGAAAAAGGAGCGGATGTCGATTTCGCGCTCGCCTTCCCCTATACCATCCATGTCCGAATTCTTCCCGCCAGAGGCCGAGGTCAAGCAAGCCACCAAGAAGAAGAAGTCGCGAAAGCCGAAGCGCAACGATCTCCAAGAACTTCTCGAGACATCACTGCAGCAGTCCGCCAATGCTGCCGACGACGAGTCCGATTTTGGCGACGAAGGACCCCTGACGCAAGAAGAGGCCGCCGAAAAGGCCCGGCGGAAAAAGAGTTTGCGGTTCTACACGTCTCAGATCGCCCAGAAGGCCAACAAACGCGGTGCCGCGTCACGCCACGCCGGAGGCGACGACGATGTCCCGTACAAAGAGCGTCTACGAGACAAACAGGAACGACTTATGCGCGAAGCCGAACAACGAGGAAAGTCAGCTGCGCGGGGCCAAGAAGCCTTGGATGGCAACGACTCCGGCGATGATGACGCCGGCAAGGGTGCACAGTTGAACGACGAAGCAAGTCAGTACTATGACATGCTCGTGGCCAACAAGGAGCAGAAGAAAGCCGAGAAGCGAGCCAGGGCGGAAGCCTACGCCGAGGCGGCCAGACAAGGAGCGGGCGCACAGGTGTACGAAGAAGAGCAGATTGGGCCCGACGGCAAGCGCAAGATCACATACGCCATCGAGAAGAATAAGGGTCTCGCCCCCAGAAGGAAGAAGGAAGTCCGGAACCCTCGAGTCAAGAAGAGGAAGAAGTTTGACGAGAAGATGAAGAAGTTGGCTTCCATCCGTCCCGTCTACAAGGGTGGCGAGGGCCGAGGTGGATACGGCGGCGAAGCCACCGGCATCAAAACTAATGTCGTCAAGAGTATCAAGTTGTAGACTCGGAGTATGTCAACAAATGCAATATTCCTTTCTCTCGCTATATGATCTCTGTATTCCTCCTCTGCTGGGCATTATCGATTGCGGGACCTGATCGCAGATCGACGATGTTGGCGATACTGCATATTTGTCCCGGGACATGGTAGCCATTCGTACGACTTCCTTCCTTTACCTTTTCCTCTTCCTCTTCGACTCCTATTCTCCGATTCTCTAATTGCATTACTGTCCTTCGTCCTTCGGGGCCTTGTACCCAATATCCTGGCCTAGGTATGTAAGCAGCAAGACCGGTGTCAGCCTTGTCGTCTCCGGCAATACCTTTGCATCCAAGCTCTACCACCAAGCTCGTGTGTGACTTGTTGGACGCGGATTCATAGAGGGCCATTTTTTTTCCAAGGTTGGACCATTGCTCACTTGCTGGACGCATAAAAGCTGGTTCTGCCTCTGTCCTAGCCATTCACTTCTGTATCGTAGGACGCAGTGATGCGGACCTAATCGCCGCTCAGTAGTGACTGGTGTACCAGTATGGCATGCTCCTGGAGGAGTACCAGTTGCGGGCGAGGCTGTGAGTAGCTTGGCTGGAGCCGGCCATGCAGTAGTATTCATGGTGGGCAATCCGGATCCGGACGATGGATGGTGCTTGTGATGCTCGGCACCGTGGCATGGAATGGTTGGGGTTAAAGTCGTCCCTTCACCGCTCTGGTTGTCGATGCCTGGAGACGAAAACTGTTCAGAGTTCGATTGGTTCTTTTGCGGACTTTATCGAACCCTATTGCGTCGTAGCAAAGCATTTTCGGCACCCGGCCACGGCTCTGGCAGAGCACTCGAAATACTCACTGACGCGGCTCGTCCCAGTGTAATCCGGCCACCTTTCTGCGGGTGTTGCAGGATTTGCGCTTGGAATTCAACAGGCCCTCACGAAGTTGCTGCAGAACCCATTGCTGCATCTCGGATGTGTCTGCACCAAGGTTCAAGGTCCCTCATCCTCATCCTCGGATGTTGCGCTACACGGAGCGACATGGATCTGCCAGTACTTGGAGAAGGTTTCTGACCAGCGAGGATCGTCGACGACGGTGTTATTCTTATCGACGACGTTATATTCGGGATGAGTCACACATTCGGATAACAAGCCCGTCGGTTGCCCTGTGGCCTGGTAGCGCAGAAACTCGTCCGAGACTTTGACATACTGGCGCACACCTTCGTGGGCATCGATGGTCGAGCCCGTTGTCCAGCCGAGCAGCCAGGGCTCGAGCAAAGGGGCATCAGTGACCGAAGGGTGAGAGGTGCCCAGCGAAGTCAAAAACCAGGCGGCTTTGCCTCTGCTTATGATCCCCTGAACCACATCTTTGACCACGTCAAAGTGTGCGCGGCCAAAAAAGATGGAACGTTGCCGTGACCACGAATTGGAATGGATGATCAGTGTCGACACGTTAACGTCGTGGTTTAGAGGTCCGCTCTGCTTTCCCGGATCCAATACCACGGCAGCCTTGAATGGCAGCCCAGATGACGGTCCGTCCCTCAATGTTTGGAGGGCCAGCGTCGCCCCAAATGAATGGCCTGCCATTATCGTCGCATTGTTCAATGCAAGACGGCCCTTCCATTGATGCAAGTGCTCGCCTTCGCCGCGCGCGTTGGCCGAAAAGACCCTCTGGCCATGGCCGTCGTTGATATGGGTTAGCACGCGAACAATCTCTTCGACTTCTGCCTGTCGAAAATCAAGTTGTGCCTGTTTGAACGTTTCGAGGTCCAGATCGCTGTCGCCTCGTAGATCGCTGTGCGAGAAATGCAATAATGTCCTGTGCTTGCTGTCCGGCGCCATAATCACTGTGCCAGGTCCACTACCGTCGCGATGTTCAATGGCCGCGACGACGATGCCACGGCTGGCCATTTCGCCACAATACTGCGTATACTGGGTCCGTGAACTCGCCATGCCGTGCGAGAACAACATGACTGGATACCCATCCTCTGTGTCCACGGGGACATTGAGCGGCTCGGGGGATTGTAGCACCACAGTAGTGTCCTCATGCAATGGCACGTCGACTAGCGCTGGGATCTTGGTGCCGCCGACCAAGAACCACAGGCCGAAGGTGAGGACCGCATTGCTGACAACGTTGCTAAAGTGTGCGAACCGAGCGTATCCCGCCGCCACAATACCTAGCGGACGAGGAATCCATAAGTGATGCGGCTTGTTTGAAACGGACCCTTTCGCTGTCGGATAGTAGAGAGTGAACAGGACCGTCTCCAACAGAAAAGCTGGATCATCGCTGTCCTTGAACCGCGCGCCGTGAATAATCGTGCGACGCTCCGTCGGAATCTCCAGGTCAATTGTCCCAACAGAGTACGGCCCCGTGTATGCCGGCAGTCTGGATGAGAATAGCGGCCGTGAGGCAAATAGCAGACAGGAGACCACGTAGAGCATCATGCCGGAGCAGATGAAATATTTCCATGTCCGTCGAGGCCGGAGTAGGCCCAGAAGCCGCAGCAACGTCCTTTTCCAGATCATCGAAACCATTTTCGCGATCTTTCCTCCCACTCCGAGGGAAGATGGAGGAGAGTTATTGATTCATTTAGTTGTGGCTATGCGCAGATATCTGCGGCAATACTTTGTCTCGGGCTTCCTACCACTGTAGGTACGATGTTGTAGTCTACTGGTCATTGATTGGTGGCGACTTTCGCTGGCTGGAACGTGCTTCCTCAGGAGAGGCGAAATGCTGAAAGCCCGCTTCCTCCTAACAACACATGTAGTATAGTAATGTACATAATCGCGTATAAAGTTCTATTATCAAGTGTTCTACTCGAGAGTATTATACGTATACCCCTTTACTATCCCTGCGTAAAAGTTACTAGGTAAGTAACCTAGTGTTGGCAGGTGCGCTAAAAAAATGTTGTATTTGCTCTCGCTCTATCCACTTTACAGTATACAGAGTACTCCTATATATACTATAGAAATCGGAGAGAACACCGTATCTCGTACGATCTATAGATTATTCTAGAGAGTATTAAATCTCGTCGTTAACGTCGTTATCGAGCGTTATTTAGGGTTAGTAGCGAGATTTAGAAAGTATAGCTAATATAAGTATTCCTTAGTAGTAGGGTATCGAAGCCGACTATATATAATATACCCTCTTTAGACTATATTCGTTACTTTACCGTCGAGTATAGTCTATATATCGACTAGACGAAGATATATATAGACGAATCGCTTATAATTCTATATTATTAGTACTTTCGTAAAGCTATCTACTTTTATATTAGTAATTATAATCTATTCTATCTATATTTTACTAGCTTATATCTTCTATCTTAACTAATATTTATATATATTAATATATTTTAACTTCGTAGATAGTTA